TTTTCAGAGGATGGTGTAGTAGTAAAAATTTATCATACGTACAATTTTTATGTCGTTGTGACGTAATATGACGTCATTATGACGTCATTAATGTGATTTTACTGGCCCAAACCGTCTAGATATGTTATTACCTGAAAACTAAACAGTATACTACATAACTTTACCAAACGTGTTTATGACAGAATATTAGGATGTACTAAGTCTTATGTTGCCCATAGCAACACCGGTGATGCCATAAAATGACGTCATGCATATATTACCTATCCGCCATCTTGGATCATCAATCTTGAATTTTGAAAAATAGTTTTTTTTTCAGGATAAAGCCTAAAATACATTGTAAACAGACTAAAGACGTTCATATGAACCTTTTTTGGAAAAAGAAATGGGAGTATTGATGAAATTTTAAGGAAAATAAGCTGTATTTACCTGATCTAATGATATGGTTGGCCATCTTGGATTTGGGCCAATGACGTCATCAAATTAGAATAAATTATGCATTTTTATTGATAAAATTTACATATAATTATGTGTGATGTTATTTATATTAGAAACAATGTGTAACTTGACATTAAACCCATAAAATTCTGTTGTTTAAATGGAGATTATTAAATTATGCAAAAAATGCCTGTCAGAAACCCGTTGCCATGGCAACAAGAAAAATCATAATCTTATTCCACTGATACAGATTTGTTGCCAACAATATTTTAGGAAAAGTCACCAAGTTTGGCGGTTTTACCTCTAGCCGTTCAGACGCTATGTGACATCAAAGTTGCCGCGGGCACTTTTAGCCCCCCCCCCCGGTCTAGATAGGGTTAAACTCCTAGTGGTATGCATTATGAACTTAGGTATTTGCATGCTGGTCTTCTTCAGTAAACTTGAGACATACTCCAAAGTCAAGAAAACTTTTACCATGGAGAATTACCTCTCGGTGATCCGAAACAAATCCTTTACATCTAGTATTACAAAACTGAGAATTAGTGCACATTGCCTAGAAATTGAGAGGGGTCTTCACAAAAAGATACCAGCCGAGAAAAGAATGTGTCCTGCCTGCAAAGACAAAGTTGAAGATGAGTACCATTTTGTAATAATATGTCCCTACTATAACGAAGAAAGGAAAAAACTAATGATATCATGTAAAAATAGAATAACACTACCTGGGACAAGTAGAGAAATTTTCAACATATTGTTATCATGCCCCGACTCTGTATCTGTTTATTTAGGCCAATATTTACATACTGCTATACAAAAGAGAAACCTTGTCACTGCAATGTGAAATGTAACATTCCATTATTAAAACATATATACATGCATTGAAATTAGATTAGTACACTAGTAGAAATAGTTTATAGTTATTAATTTTTACTTGTCATACATTGTATCAAATGCAATTGTTGTGCAATAAACTTGACTTGACTTGACATGTACAAATCATCTAAGCCTTCGAGTATATCTTGTCAAATAATTTGGTTTGTTTGCATGGTAAGCGGACAGGGCTTTTGCATACCTTGTTTCACAAAAGACGTAGTAAAGTGTAAATCCATGTGGACAGGTGGGTACTAACTCAGAGGAATGTCAGGGAACGTCGTAAAATTTTCAATTGCTATGTCAAAATAATAAGCGGAATAATGAGGTATTCATGCACGGCTTTCTGCATACCTTGTTTAACGAAAGGAGGGAATTCTTACGGACAGGTGGGTACTAACTCAGAGGAATGCAGGAACGTCTTAACATTCTTATTGCATTGTAAAAATGATCAAGTAGAGCGCTGAGGTATCCATGCATGGCTTTCTGCATACCTTGCCCAACAAAAGACGGAGTAAAGTATACCTATGTACAGATGCGTACTATAACTAGAAAGGCCAATATTTGCTTTGGAGCAAATACAGCGATGGGTTCACCACATTTTACGACATGGCAGGGAAAGAATGAGAAACACAAGGGAAAACAATGATTTACATTGATATAACTATAATATGAAGTAACATACAACTAAAACAACAGTTGGATAGCTATTCCCTACTTTATTGGTTAGGATTTTTAATTGCATAATGCAAACTGTTGATTTTCAAAAAAAAAAAAAAAACGTTCATGCCCCGCATTCCAATGCTGGAGCAGAAAAGCTTGAAATACCTACCAAAACACTTGAATAAAGACATAGTCAAGTATGGAAATCGCTCTGTGCAGGTGTTAATCAAGTTAAATCCCAACCAGCCAATCAGCAAGAAATGCTCTGTGCAGGTGGAAATGCTCTGTGCAGGTGTTAATCAAGTTAAATCCCAACAGCCAATCAGCAAGAAGTATAGAGGAAAGCTGCATGCCTATTGGTTGATGCCCTGCATTCCATTGTGATGACTCATGCCCAGACGTGTAAACACGGCACACTAACACAGTAATACATTTGCTATAACACAGCCAAAAAAACTCAAATAAAACCATTCTAAAAGCCTCTATCACAAAAATTTAAAAACGCCTAGGGGTATTTGCCCACTGTACCTCCATACCAAATTTCAGGACCTTAGGCCCTAAAATGAAGAAGCTGAATCCATTTAAAAAATGGCAGGAGAAGAAGAAGAAGAAGAAGAAACATCAGAAAAAGCAATATGGGTTCACCACCACTTCGTGGTGTGGTGAACCCATAATAAGTCAGACGGAAGCGAAGGAGTGTCAATGATATATTCATTTAACCCTTGTCCTGCGGGGACCACACACACACACACACACACACACACACACACACACACACACACACACACACACACACACACACACACACACACACACACACTACACACACACTCTCTCTCTCTCTCTCTCTCTCTCTACTATATATATATATATATAAGATATAAGATATAGATATATATAGATATAGATATATATATATATAGTGATAGAGAGATAGATATATATAGATATAAATAGATATAGATAGATAGATAGATAGATAGATAGATAGATAGATAGATAGATAGATAGATAGATAGATAGATAGATAGATAGGTAGATATGAGGTTGCACATACAGCACCATTTCTATAGCACCTTCTATTGATACGATTCGAGGGTATTTCTGGTGCAACGCTTCACACTGAAAACATCACGACACACACAAAAAGCAAAAGAATTGAGTCTCCACCTAAAGATACATCAACCATGCTTATACTGAAGAAAAATTGTTTCATATATTTCATACACATTTACAAAAATGCGTTTATGTCTCTCTAATGAATACTGCCAAAATGAATATGTACGAGGAGTATTGGCATTAGCTACAAGAAATTATGCACGTGTCCTAAAGGTAAAAGAAAGGATGCCTGGGACCACTAACAATGTGCAGTACGGGACAACATAGCGGCAGGTGCCTTATACTTTCAGCAAAAGGACGACCTAGGACTAGTAGTACTGGGTAGTACGGGACTACATAGCGGCATTTGTATTATATTTTTAGAAAAAAAGGACGAACTAGGACTAGTAGTACTGAGTAGTACGGGACTACATAGCGGCATGTGCCTTATACTTTCAGAAGAAGGACGACCTAGGACTAGCAGTACTGTGTATTACAGGACAGCATAGCGGCATGCGTCTTATACTTTTAGCATAAGGAGGACTTGGGAGTATTAGTACTGTATACTACGGGACTACATAGCGGCACGCGTCTTGAAATTTCAGTAAAAGGGCGACCGGTCGACCTGGGATTAGCAGTACTGTGTATAGTAGCTAGTACGGGACCACATGGCGGCATGTGGCTTATTTTTTTATACTTTCAGCAGTAGGACGAACTAGGACTAGTTGTACTGTATATATAGTACGGGACTACATAGCGGCATTTGTTTTATATTTTTAGCAAAAGGACAACCTAGGACTACTGTGTAGTACGGGACTACATAGCGGCATGCGTCTTATATTTTTTTTTTACTAAAAAGAACGACCTACCACTAGTTACTGTGTAGTACGAGACTATATAGAGGCATTTGTTTTATATTTTTAGCAAAAGGACGACCTAGGACTACTGTGTAGTACAAGACTACATAGCGGCATTTGTTTTATATTTTAAGCAAAAGGACGACGTGGTACTAGTTACTGTGACTACATAGCGGCATTTGTCTTATGTTTTTAGCAAAAGGACGACCTAGGACTAGTAATACTGTGTAGTGCGAGACTACATAGCGGCATTCGTCTTATATTTTTAGCAAAAGGATGACGTAGTACTAGTAATACTGTGTGGAACGGGACTACATAGCGGCATTTGTCTTATATTTTTAGCAAAAGGATGACGTGGTACTAGTTACTGTGTAGAACGGGACGACATAGCGGCATTTGTCTTTAGTTTTATTTTTAGCAAAAGGACGACCTAGGACTAGTTATATATATATATATATATATATATATATATATATATATATAGTAATACTGCGTAGTACGGGACTACATAGGGGCATTTGCCTTATATTTTTAGCAAAAGGACGACCTAGGACTAGTAATACTGTGTAGTACGGGACTACATGGCGGCATTTGTCTTATATTTTTTAGCAAAAGGACGACGTAGTACTGGTAGTACAGTGTAACACGGGTTTACAACGCGGCATTTGTCGTATATTTTTAGCAAAAGGACGACGTAGGACTAGTAGTACCGTGTAACACGGGACTACATCGCGGCATTTGTCTTATATTTTTAGCAAAAGGACGACCTAGGACTAGTAATACGGTGTAATACAAGACTACATAGCGGCATTTGTCTTATATTTTAAGCAAAAGGACGACGTAGTACTAGTTACTGTGTAGAACGGGACTACATAGCGGCATTTGTCTTATGTTTTTAGCAAAAGGACGACCTAGGACTAGGACTACTGTGTAGTACGAGACTACATAGCGGCATTTGTCTTATATTTTTAGCAAAAGCACGACCTAAAACTAGTAATACTGTGTAGTACGAGACTACATAGCGGCATTTGTCTTATATTTTTAGCAAAATGACGACGTGGTACTAGTTACTGTGTAGAACGGGACTTCATAGCGGCATTTGTCTTTAGTTATATTTTTAGCAAAAGGACGACCTAGGACTATATATATATGTATATAGTAATACTGTGTAGTACGGGACTACATAGCGGCATTTGCCTTATATTTTTAGCAAAAGGACGACCTAGGACTATATATATATATACATATAGTAATAATGTGTAGTACGGGACTACATAGCGGCATTCGCCTTATATTTTTAGCAAAAGCACGACCTAGGACTATATATATAGTAATACTGTGTAGTACGGGACTACATAGCGGCATTTGCCTTATATTTTTAGCAAAAGGACGACCTAGGACTAGTAATATTGGGTAATACGGGACTACATAGTGGCATTTGTCTTATATTTTTAGCAAAAGGACGACGTAGTACTAGTAGTACCGTGTAACACGGGACTACATAGCGGCATTTGTTTTATGTTTTTAGCAAAAGGACGACTTAGGACTAGTAGTACTGTGTAGTACGGGACTACATAGCGGCATTTGTCTTATATTTTAGCAAAACGACGACGTGGTACTAGTTACTGTGTAGTACGAGACTACATAGCGGCATTTGTCTTATATTTTAAGCAGAAGGACGACGTAGTACTAGTAATACTGTGTAGAACGGGACTACATAGCGGCATTTGTCTTATGTTTTTAGCAAAAGCAAGACCTAAAACTAGGACTACTGTGTAGTACGAGACTACATAGTGGCATTTGTCTTATATTTTTAGCAAAGGGACGACGTAGTACTAGTTACTGTGTAGAACGGGACTACATAGCGGCATTTGTCTTATGTTTTTAGCAATAGGACGACCTAGTACTAGTAGTACTGTGTAATATCGGACTACATGGTCTTATATGCAGAAATAAAAAGCCTGGGACCAGTCCCATGCTTTAGTGCGGGACTATATACATGTAGCTGCATGTGTCAGTCTTATACTTACAGCAAATAGACAGCATGGGGCAAATATTACACCGTAGTCCTGGAGTACGTACGTGCACATGTCTTATTCTTGCAGGCATGACCTGGGACAAACACAGGTAACCTAGTTTAGTTTACTTACCTGTCAGCGCATATGCAGCTGTAAGACAGTGGCACAGATTCCACAGTAGTGCCAGCGATGTTGTAGTTGGTGACATGTTCCCTAAGCCGCTGGAGGACGGTATACATAGGTCCTATGCTGCATTGTAGTACATCGTCAAAGGGTTTTGAAAAATCACCTTGCGTGCGCTGCCCCATGCTCATATCTCTTGCCACGATAAATGGAAAATCTTTGTTGCGTTTCAGTAACGCCAATTTTGATGAAAAAGCTATTTTCAAAATATTCGCTGGTTGCTTTAGCTGAGGCCAGGTGTGTGTTGAAAAATTAACTCTGGTATTTTCATTTGTATCACGTGGTCACACTCCCAGGTTGTTAAGCTGCCTAGTATATAGCTAGTTGCCTCGTTGCAATTTTAATAAAGTATTCTTATTTGCAGGTTTATTTGTGTCTCGTGATAACCACCTGTGCAACGTTTGTTGTTTTTCTTGCTCGTCTGTCATAATTGTATGTTTCTTACTCTTTAGCCAACACGATTTTGTATTATTTGCCACCTAAAAGTATTTATAATCATCTTAAGATGTTAACTTCCTTACATTTTGTTTACATTTAGATCAACTTTTTCTATAAAACAAAATCTTTAATAAACTTCCTCAAAATGTTGGAGAAACTGAAATTCTAGGTGGTTTATCAGCAAGAGAATGTAGCAATTAAGATATTGTTGACATTCCTTCCTTTAATGCCAATGTTCTGGGTTAGTGCCCATTTGTTCAAAATGATACTTTACTTTGCCTTTCGTCAAAAAAGATATCCAGAAATAGCCTCCTTTTCAGGCATTCCCGGATCGGTCTTTTTTTTTGGGGGGGGGGGTATGTTCTGATCAAACGTAGATCGAACGGAAATATATGTAGTGATGCCAGCCGGAGCTTTTTGCCAGCCGGAGCTATTTGCGTGTGATCTACATTTGGTCAGAAAATACCCCCCCGCCAAAAAAAAAAACAAAAAAAAACAAAAAAAACGACTGATCCGGGAACGCCTGAAAAGAAGGCTAATCCAGAAAGCCGTGCACAGATACCTTATCACTTTAATTGATTATTTCGACATAGCAATTAAGATTTTAGGTTATGCTTTTGCATTCCTCTGTGTTAGTATCAATCTGTCCGTGGGAGCGCTTTATTCTACCTTTCGTTAAGCAAGGTATGCAAAAGTCGTGCACGCTTACCTTCTACCTGATTACTTTGTCTTGGCAATTAAGAATTTTAGGACGCTCCTTTACATTCCTGAGTTAGTAGCCATCTGTCCGTAGGGACATTTCACTCTGCCTTTCGTCAAACAACTATGCAGAAAGCCGTGTACGGATGCTTCAGCTCTCTACTTGATCATGTTGACATAGCAATTAAGAATTTTAGGACGTTCCTATGTATTTCTCTGAGTTAGTTAGTACCCATTTGTCCTCTTTACTCCGCCTTTCGTCAAACAGTGTAATACTATGCAGGAAGCCGTGCACAGATACCTCATCACTCTACTTGATCATTTCGACATACAGATGTAGCAATTTTACGACCTTCCCTCGCATTCTTTGTAGTTTTCATTTATTTCATTTAGTTAGTACCAATCTGTACACAGGAACACTTAACTCCGCCATTCATTAAACAAGGTATGCAGAAAGTCGTGCACGAATACATCAGCACTCTACTGTATTATTTTGATATAGCAATTAAGAATATTAGGGCGTTCTTTTGCATTCCTGAGTTAGTACCAATCTGTCCATATGCCTTTCTTCAAACAAGGTATGCAGAAAGACGTGCACTGCTCGGATACCTGATCACTCTACTCGATTATTTTGACAAAGTAATTAAGAATTTTAGGACGTCCCCTCGCATTCCTCTGAGTTAGTACCCACCTGTGCCTAGGTATACTTTACTCTGCCTTTCGTCAAACAAGGTATGCAGAAAGCTCGTACCACAGCACTCTACTTGATCATTCTGACATAGCAATTTAGAATTTTAGAAATTTCAGCCGTCGCTTTCCTCTGAGTTAGTACCCATCTGTCCACAGGGATTTATACCCTTTTCCGCCTTTTCAAACAAGGTATGCAAAAGCCGTGCACGCAAACCTCTCTGCACTATATTTGAGTATTTTGGCCCTGTGCATCACTCTGCTAAGCTGGAAGTGGTAGTCCCAGTACACCGGGGATGAGAGCCACATTTCCCCCCGTAAAGCCGACCATGGCGACCGGCTTGATCCTTTTTATATACCTGCTGTCCATCGGCCCTGCCTCCCCCCGCATTGCCGATACAAACGAAGAGTGCTCCTCATCTGCCTTCGCTTGCAAAACGACCAACGACTGCATCGGTTTGGCAGATAGGTGTGATGGTCACACACACTGTCCAGATGGCTCGGATGAAGAGTGCACAGCTCCAGAGTGTTTGTCGCCCGATGTTTTCGGCTGTGACATTGCCGGCAGTTGCCTCTCTCTCGCTGTGGTGTGTGACGGTTATGATGATTGCGAAGATGGTTCAGACGAAGAAAATTGCACAGGTTGTCCCCTGCCCGACTCTTTTAAGTGTAGAAGTGGTGGATGTGTCTCTCAGGACTGGCAATGTGACAGTATGGAAGATTGTAACGACGGATCAGACGAGGAAAATTGCACAGGGTGTTCCCCGCCGTACGATTTCAAGTGTGAGAGCGGTGAATGTCTCCCCTACTACTGGCAATGTGACGGCCAGGGAGATTGTGACGACGGATCAGATGAGAGATGCACAGATGAGTGTCCCCTGCCCAACTATTTTAAGTGTAGCAGTGGCGGATGTGTCCCACAGGAGTGGCAATGTGACGGTTTTGCTGATTGCGGACAAGATAGTTCAGATGAGGACAACTGCAGAATGTGTGCCTTATCCAACCATTTCCAGTGTGAAAGCGGTGAATGTGTCCCCCAATACTGGCAGTGTGACGGTGAGGAAGATTGTAGCGACGGTTCCGATGAGAAAAATTGCACAGATCCTTGCTCCTTGTCCAACTATTTCAAGTGTGAAAGTGGCGGATGTATTCATCGAGACTCGCGGTGTGACGGTGATACCGATTGTGTAGACAGTTCAGATGAGGAAGATTGCATGAACTTGTGTCCCGACCCAGACGATTTTATGTGTGAGAGTGGCGAATGTGTATGGCGGTGTGACGGTGATCATGAATGTTCTGATGGTTCAGATGAGGACAATTGCACGGTGTGTTTCTTTCCCAGCCTTTTCAACTGTGAAAGTGGCGGGTGTGTCCCTCCATACTTTCGATGCAACGGTTTCGAGGAGTGTGACGATGGTTCAGATGAGGAAGATTGCATGAACATAGATTGTTATGACCCCGACGATTTTAAGTGTGAGAGTGGCGAATGCCTCGACTTAGTTCGACAATGTAACGGTGAGAAAGACTGTAAGGACAGTTCAGATGAGGAAAATTGCTGGAGCATAGTTTGTGATCGTTCAGCCTTTAGGTGCCAACGTAGTGGGTTATGCATCCCCGAAAGGTTGCTTTGTGACAGCATTAACGATTGTCCAGATAGTGAGGATGAGGAATATTGCCGGTACCATGAACAGTGCACCACAACCGACTATTCAAGTGATGTCCGGCCAGATTGGCATTGTGACGGTGTGAGTGATTGCCGCGATGGATCTGATGAGGAAAGCTGCACAGGCGAAAACTGTCCGCCGCCCAGGTTTTACTGTGGACGCGGTTCCTGCATCGATGACACCAGGCGCTGTGATGGCGTCAGTGACTGTCATGACGAGTCAGATGAGCGTGTTTGTGGTAAGCTCGCCTTCTATTCAGTTTGACATAACCGGGGACAACATATAGAACATCAGAACTTTATTACACGACAATGTGTGGCAACAACTATTAAGCACAACACTAAAACAACTAAAACTTAACATCCTAATTAGTAAAAAAGCAAGGACTAGTATATTTGATTCAGCGTTATAATCGAACATTAGAACACTACAACACTAGAACATTACAACTTTATTACACGACAATTGTACATGGTACAATGTGTGGCAACAACTATTAAACACAACACTAAAACAACTAAAACTTAACATCCTAATTAGTAAAGAAGCAAGGACTAGTACATTTGATTTAGTGTTATAATCGAGTGGCTTAAGAAATGAGATTGGGTATTTTTCTAATAACGAAGAAGTCTTTATACCTATGTTGTTTCATTATATAAGTTATTGCACATATAACAGTATATACATATAAATATAAATTACATCTTTCATATACATATATGACATATATATAATTACATCTGTCTGTACCATCGATCAACTCGGTTAGAGGAATCTGCATACATTTGTTACGCAAAACATCATAATTATGTAGAGCATTCCATAAAAATGTGAAATTCATCTTCAATTCGCTTTGAACAAAACCTTTCATCAGCGGCCGCGTTACAGTATCTGCCTGTCTCTATTTTCTATTTATGACTCCTGATTCTTAACTGACTTATCGCTTTGCGAATTTCATATTTATCTAATAGTATATTATAGAGGTATTTTATTTTATCATAGATATTTCACAATATGGTGATAAACACTCTAAGCTGTATGTTTATCACTCTCACTACTTGCTCAACAGAATTTGTTACATTCCATGTTATAGATAAACTCAACTTCATTCTAGAAGGCGATATCCTTTGCTGTCTCTTATGTACATTTTAAGTCGGCGGAAATATATATTTTAGAATGTGTAGACTCTAGAACAAGTAGCATATGTTACATACCATATTTTGATAACTTGTTTATGTATTCGTAGACTTGTATTTAGGTTGATTCTTTTATATCCGCGTGTTTGACGGTATGTTTTATCTAAGACATTATGAATGGTTATTTATTCGTGTTGTTTGAAGTATTTTTATGATCTTTTTAAACTGTCAACCTGGAGACCGGACTGTAATGAGATTCAAACCACTCAGAAAAGGAAGGACACCCCATGCCTACGAATGAAGATCAATTTCTTTGTTTCCTCTGGTTGAACATGGATGTTGTGAAATAGGTATTATGTGTGCCCTTTGTAGTTCGTTCACGCACGCCACACATGCTAATTGTGTGAACCACACATGCTAATGGTGTGAACATATCTGTTGTACAGTGTGTACCAGTGTGGAGTTCCAATGTGCACGCGGCAGCAAATGTGTGGCACCATCTGCAGTGTGCGACGGCGTCATTGACTGTGATGATGCATCGGATGAGCTGTTGTGCCGTACGTTTTATGCAAATTAATAGTATCTATAGACTATATTTTAGAATAAATCATGACCGACGTAGATGTGGTAGCGCTAAAAAAAGTCAGAATATGTCATAATGTCCCACCATAACTTACTGCAGGTTGCTTGAAACTTGCCATAATGCAAATGTCTGGAATAATGTTATAACGGTCGTTATAATATCTCATTGAGGGGTACTACATAGAAAATAAAGTGTTATTCCAGATTGATTTGTTGATCGTAATTGTGTATGGTTGGACAAAACTTACCTAAAGTAATGTGCATCTCATTTTAATTAGAAACCTGTGCAGTGAAGGGCCTGTGGCAGTGTGACAGCGGGGAATGCATCCACACAGCCTGGGTGTGTGACGGGGACAAGGACTGCTCTACTGTGGAAGACGAGGAGAACTGTCACAGTTAGTTCATTCTTAAAAGTGTTCATGTAGTAATGCATATTCCCCCTTGTATCTGAAACGTCCTCATCTTTGTGTGAAAGTTTTAAATTTGCACTGTGTACATCTAACTCTACCATCTTCTGTGGTTGGGTGACTCTAGAACTAGGATTGATTAGCTTACACGGCACAGAAGTAGGAACAAATGTCAACTTTACACAGTTCAGTGCAGACCTTCTAAATTTCAGAATAGTACAGTAAATACTGTATCTTTCAGTATAGAACTATTGAAGGAATTATAATGCATTTTAATAAATACCCTTTGCCCTTAATATTGTGTTAGTCGAGTTTTCTTTTATTTTGGTATCTTATAACGAAGCATTCTTTTTACCTAGTATTTTTTCCTCATGTAATTTATTGTTTTCAAAGATAAATTCAAATTTGTCTGTAGCTATTGATTGTCTTGAAATCTAATTAACCTGATTCGAGAAATGTGAATATCTTGTTATGTGAAGCATCATATCTAGAGCATTCATTACATAACGAAATGAAATTCACCTTCAATTTTCTTTGACCAAAAGGACAAGACATTTTATCGTTACACTGTAGTACATAATAGTATCTGCCTGTTAGTATGTTTAATTTATGACTGCTAATTTTAAAATATATGCTGGCGTGGTGAGCCACATATCATCCTCAGCCAAGAGAAAATGATGATGATGGATCCTTAGTTGTTAAACATTGAAAACAGCAGATTCCGTCGCCTCGTTTAAGCGTTTGTATAACCAGAATGTTCTCGCAACATAGTAACCGTTACTTTTTTTTGTAACATCGATATGCAAATTTCCATTACCTTCTTTATTTATTTCATTTGTTGCATTTTATTCGCTTGTTTCATATAAGTTATTAGTTTACCGTATTATTTTGAAGCACTTTACCAATATGTTATTTTTGCAATTAAGCTAATTGTACCTTTGTTTTCCTGTTTGTTATTTTAAGCTAATAAGTATATTTTGTAAATGTATCTGTCCGCAGGGAACATTGAAAAACGCCCTTGCGGCGACATGTTTACCCTGGGTAAATAAATAAAAATGAAAAAAAATGAAATGAAATGTCTCTTGAACATTGGGGTGTCGACGATGTTTTTGCTAAGATAATCGTTAAAGACAATTTATCGTTGCTTTCACGTATTCTCCGCTACTTCCAGCTCCCTGCAGTGGTCTCCAGTTGGAGTGTGACGGGAGATGTCTGCCGAAATACCGCTTGTGTGACAGGCTGGATGACTGTTCCAACGGACAAGACGAGATGAACTGTACAGCTGGAGGTGGGAGTCAGTTAACGATCATTACTGTATTTTCTATTTTTTATTTTTAATTTAATATTTAATGAGAAGACATCGTGATGGAACACTAAGGTTTTTATTTTATGCCGCCACTGATGCAGAAGACAAATACAGGGCAGGACAATATTCATGTTCACCCGAGTTGATTAAGGAAAGTCGTGTAAAGTGCCTTTCCCAAAGGTACAAGGTAGATGAGATGGCAGGTTTGAATCCATGACCTCTTGGTTTTAAGTTGAGAATTCTGCCATTACGCCACACAGCCCCAATTCACATCGTGCATGTATGCCCTTACATGCTTAGTACAGATCATGGATAAAGCAGATGTATTTGGTAATATCTTGGTGAAACTAGTTAACAGACTAATGTGAACTACCTTGTACAGTTTCATTCTCTCGCTTCCGAAGGCAGTTATATATGTATGAGCATATATTGCCTATAATAATTGTTTATCTAGTTTTATGAGGAATACGAATTTTAAAAGAGAGTATAGTTTCATGTAGGAAAATAACCTGTTTAAACCTGATCTAATGATGTTGCCCGCCATCTTCGATTTTGGCAAATGACGTCATCAAATTAGCATAAATTATGCATTTCTTATGATGAAGTTTACATAAAATTACATGAGATTACATAATATATATTAGAAACCATGTGTAACTTGACATAAAACCCATACAATTCTATTGTTGAAACTAAAAATACTAAATTTAGCAAAAAATGTCCGTCAGAAAGTTTTAATATTTATTTATTTATTTATTTCAAATGTAAGTTTTAATATCATGCACAGTCAACGAAAAAGTTACACTCATCCTCATTTTTGTCATAATTACAATATTTTAACATTTCTTAAAAAGAAAGTCTTGAAAACGTCCCACCATCTCCAAAAACCCTTAAAAGAAAGATACATGTTGTAAACGAAATATTTTTCGAAGGATCAAGCCTGTATGCATGTGGGGGGGCCCGCATGCTCTTTTTCGTAGAGCATAGACGGACCGTTCTAATTCAACGTAGATCGTAATTGGCGCATTTGCGTAGAGCGTATTCGCCATTTTGATTCCACGTTTTAATCGCAAAGTGTATTCGAGAGGCTTTTTGAATTCAGCTTAAACGTAGCCAGCTCTGAAAATTTAGCGTAGAGGGTTGTCGGGACCCCCATGCAGGCCCCATGTATAACAAACTTAACATTTTGATAAAACAACACACACACACACAGGTTGTAGTGCTGAGCAGTTTTCCTGTACAGACGGCACGTGCCTGTTAAAGTCTCAGCTGTGTGACAACCTGACGGACTGCAGTGGAGGGGAGGACGAGGAAGACTGTGAAGGTAGCGCTGTCTATGCACAAAGCGCACCATCTTTTGCACTTTAGAACACAGAAATGTTTATTGCATTTCACAGAAAAAGATACATAACACATATAGAAAAAAAAACAGCACGCACCGGCTTGTCGTATACGTCACTACGTCCTGCCGCAAATTCACAATACCAATTTTGTATTCCTGTAGTTTAGTAGCATTTTTGATTTTAGCCGAATTTTTATTTTATTCTAGTTTGGGGGGTCTTCAGAGGATGTCATCCATAAAATTAAGTCGGTGTGGCCTAATGCAGCTTTAAGATCACTGTATCAATTTTGGACACGCTTCCTAGTTTCACAGGCAGTGCACTCTAAGTCTGACTGATGACATTTTTCTCACAGATTCGACACCTCCTGGAAATCCGCTTGGTTTGACCAGTCGGTACATTCCCGATTTTTTCGTCACCGCCAGCTCCGAGTACAAGCCAGAGTTCGCCCCATTCCAGGCTCGGCACTCGCCTTTCACTACACCAGCATACTGCTGGGTACCAAGTGCTGTGGTGGACCAATGGATTCAGGTAAGTTGAGTAGGTTATATTATGTTGCAGTACCTAGCAGAACAAGAATACAAAGATCTCAGACCTTCATAAAATTACGATGCAAATCGATGCAAAATAGAGCAGGGTGACTGATCCAGATGTGATCTTCGTACCAGGGTAAAACAGATCAAAAAGGAATATTGTCGTGGCAGACTGTAGATGGAAGATTTAACATAAATAATACTCAGGTAAGTTAAGGCCTGTGACGGTTTGTGTTCGAGTTCGGGCCGTCGGGCCTGGCCGAGAGCGACCGAACACGAACGCGGTTCGGACTGTTCCACTATGGAGCGGCTCGGGGGGTGCCAGCGCCGTACAGCTACCCAGTCGTTTTTCACACTAAATATTGCTTTACTTAATCTCAGGTGTGAGTACAAGTACGTAATCGATATTATGCCTCGTACTTTGGGTTTCATTAGATCTTAAACATTTCAAAATCAGCTTTTAGCTATTTTTGACCCAAAAAGTTTAAGATTCCTACTTCTTAACCAAAATAGCCACGGACAAATTTATTCTATGAGAGGTAAGCTCTTATCCTGTGGAATATAGTGACAAAAGCTGCTGTCCTTGCCAAGGCTGGGGCATTTGAAATAAACTATGTATTTTTAAACCAAAATCTATATTTCTAACCCGAAAATTCTGCATATGACATCAAATTTCAACAGTATCTAGTACCTGTCAAACAGCACTAGCCCTCTGTGAAGTTTCGTCTCGATACGACTACGCTGGGCAAAGTTGTAAGGATGTACTAAGTGTTTTAGTGGGGGTTGCTCGAACTGGGACCTGGGCAGTTGGGTGACGTCATTTACTCTGGCCTTCAGCATGGACGGCGCTTCGTGGGAACCTTACGTGGGCAGCAGCGATAACGTTCAGGTAGGAAAAACTTTTCTTCACCGGAAATGGATTTTGAAAAGTGCGAGGACTCATGAGTAAATGTAATCCACTTAAGAATTAGGTCATCTTAAAGTGGGATCCGTACCACTAGACGAAAACCGACGTATCCGGGTCGTATACTCCCGTACACACGCCCGGAAATTCCAAATATACGGACATTTCCAGGTGTGCGCGACCCGTACACTTGGCGTGTGCGGGCCTGCACACGGCCCGGATATGAACCACTCAGGTGTCCGGGCCATGTACAGGCCTGCACACGTCTGCACACGCCACCCGTAAATCTCTGCACACACCTGGATACGTGACACGTACCTCTGAGTGTGTGTATGAAATATGCATAAATTAGCGGTAATTTTCACCTAATTATCTTCCTCATTATCAGCTCGTGTACGGGTCGTACACACCCGCACACGTCCCCCCCCCCTCCAATATGCCTTTTGTAATGTAAAGTAGCATCATAGCCGTTTATCCCCCCTTCTTGTTTGCATAATTTTGTTTTCTTTATTAATTGTACATGGTGCTTGGGCTTTGTGACTTTTTGTTTGTGTTTTGTGTGCCTCCAATATTTCCAGTGTACTTCGGCCGGTCTTTCAGCTCAGCTGAAACAAACTGTACGTCTCGTTCTTCTGTGTCTTGCCTTGACGCAGCTAGTCACGGGAGCAGATATTAGTCTCGTCTGGGCACCAGTCGTTAGAAGCCGTCCCAAGCTCTTTATTCCGCGCTGTGCAACAGCCAACAAGCCTCGCTGAGGCGGTGACCCACGGGCCGAACATCTTGTGCCACAGCACGGCCTTGAGTCGGGACACAGCGTATAGTCCGGAGGGGTGTACATCGGTCCTCTGGTCCGGTCTAATACTCTCTTGCACGCGGACTATCACTCGCCTATGCCAAAAGCCTGGTTCCCAGGATCCTGGCTAGCGGCTTTCCAAAGAACGAGGCATACTCTGACGTTCACAATCTTCCCAATCAACCTCAGCTTGGAGAGTAGTCTTGTCCCAGTTCGTCTTGCCAGTGTCCCACGGCGTTCTTGTCTTGAAAACTGCTCCAATTTACGTAGAAAGGCGCGGTACCGATATTCCTGTGTTGATGATGAGATATGACACAATCTCTCACCATGGACCCTTTTCTACCTCCATGCTCTCACTAAGTTCCTAGCGTGTTCCTTGTGTCCAGGATAGTTGTACAATGCACGCTCCACAACCAGGCATGTAACGGAAAGATTTCAAAAATAATGACCCGAGCGTTGATTGGCCCTCTTTTCAAACCCCAACAAAGAGAAATGCATGCAATTGGCTGGTCTGGTTTACAGGTCACTGCAGGAATAATGATATACAAAGAGTTGTGAAATGTCCCGCTTGTCTATTAGGCCATGTTGATTTGATTATATGGATGACATCCGCGCGCGCATGAATTTTCGGCCGTTTCCAAAAAAAAAAAAAAGTTTTCAACCATACTGTAAATCGTACAAAACAGTTGTAAAATGAGCAAAAATATACCGTAAGTTACAGAAAAATAAGTAAAAACTATACCAATGTCGTAGAATGCCAAAATCAAACAAAAAAGACGAAATTGTAAGGAAATGAACTCGAAGATTAGACTATTCGCCAAACCATATTCTGTCCCATTTGTTCAACCCTCATGACCACGTAGATTTCATAATGAAAACAACTTTTTTTTTTTTGGAAAACTTTTTTTTTATTCGCACGCGCGCATCAGTTTTGGGGCTCCCGGAGGATGTCATCCATATAATCAAATCAACATGGCCTTATGTAAAAGTTGCACGCACACTAATAAAAAACATAGGCTATAAAATAGTCTGGAATGTTATCATCAACACATAATTTGCAGTTTACCCGTGTAATGTTTTTAACTTCGTGTTCTTAAAGTATAAAAATTAAATATAACCAAGGAAGTTAAACCTCTCTTATATAAAAACAAACAAACAAGGTAAATAAGACATAGGCGCCGTCTCGTCTCTGACCATGACACCACAATACACATCTTACAACAATGTACAAGTAAACTATGCATCTTTTGCCTCTTCCAAAAAATTATTTTTACACTAAAGTGGACTGATATTTGAAAAAACACCAGAGCGGTCCCTCTCATTACCAAAGAAAACGACCATGTTTCCAAAGGTGAAATATGTCAAGGTCGAAGGTTCCCAATAGACTAGTTTGGTAAAATTCTGATCAGTAATTGTGTTGTTGTTTTTGCCCACTGTAGATTCAATATGGTGCCGGTATAATGAGGCGTTAATATATGCGGGGAGACGATGGACCACACAAAGAAATCTACTCATTGTTCATAGCAAGGGTTATAGTTACAAATTTATACAGGGATACACTTAGACCCCATTCATACCAAGGACGTTATATCATAACCTAGTTGAAGCTCCGTGTTCATATAAAATCCTTGTTCATACCAAGCTTTATATATCCTTCTAGATTCTTTAGCAGAGTTTATATAAGCCTGGCATGGCCCAAAAGTCAACCAGACTCTGGCGAGGGCGAGTTTATAGCAGACATCGGCCCCCAAACAACATTTATTCTATTCACCAACTTTTAATGTAACGCTGATTTCCTCTACCATCCAATCTAGATGTCTTTGTGTTGCGTTGCCTGTTACCTACAACGTTTTTAGGTAGTAATTCGGTTCATGGAACGAACTCATGTTTAGATAGATTTCGGGAGTGAAAATAATATTGTTTTCTAACCAGCATTTTGCCCGTTCTTCTTACCGGCTTTGAAAACACATGTGCACCTATCAATTTACGCATTTGCGAAACGATCTACATGTATGGTGACCCCTTATTGTTTGGCAGTACTTGCGATGTGTGACGTGTGCAGGCCCGTATATTCCCGTACACACGACTAATTACCAGGTGTCCGGGCGTGTCCGGAGGAATCACAGACCCGCACACGCCGTGGCCGACATTTCCTGCACACACCCGGACACACCCGGGCACGCCAAGTTTCACGGGACATGTACAGGTCCGGAAACGTCCGGATATTCGAATTTTTGAGCAGTGTACCTAGTTGATATTGCACTTTTTATGTGATGAATATCAGTGAGAAGTTGATATATCCAATTTTAAGATCTCTAGCAGCTCATGATTTGCATTGCATTTACATTGGAGCAAATTCAGCAGGTGGCTTAACCACATCCCACGTGCCAGAATTGGCATTTTACCTCCGCACAAATGGATTGTTCATCATCACACATGGCCAAATGTAAAGTATTCCAACAGTCTATATACCTCCGTACAGCAATTGAATCTTCCAACGCCTTCTGCAAATGTCAGACTTCGTGGTGTGGTGAAGCCTTAAAAAGCTGCTTATTTTATCACACAGGTTTTCCGAGGAAACCGAGACCGGTACAACAGAGTTAGCCGTCCTCTCTCAGCTCCCGTGACGTCACGCTACATCCGTCTGTACCCGACAGGCTATGCGGGCTGGGTTGCCATGGTGATGGAGGTGTACGTCACAAACGGTTAGTCTGCTCTAATATCAGGCCCCGTTCGTTTTCACACCAATACACTCTAAGTGATTTCGGTCTACCAAAGGTGGATTCAAGTGGTTCCATCTCAGGCATCTGTGTGCCCCAACTCGCATTGAAAATACCTCGATCCAAAACTTACATAGGTAGTTTCGAGCTGGTTTCTCCGGATCGCAATTTGCGTCTGAACGCAATGTGATTCCAATGTGACTCCATTTCTACAGATGTGAGGAATAGGAGTTACCCGAATTGCGGTTCAGGCGGTTTCGTGTGAACAAGGCCTTAGTTTCTAGCGGACTCAAAATACTCAGTGGTCTTTTTTTTTCACTGCTTTAAAGGACAAAAATATAATAATTTCAGTTTTTGGGCTTTTAACCCAAAAAATGTTTGCTAAAGCAGTGCACTAGTTTTTACCAGTTTTACCAGTCCCACACACATCAGGGCGGTGTTTTACCCAAATTGATGTTCACTGCTGACGCATGCCTACAGACCGATCTCGATGCCCCGCGAACATCCGTCATAACATCGAAATGTACATATTTGAAGGACGTGCAATCACACTGTCATTGGTCAAACCGCTAATTGCCCTTCTCTCATCTGTTGAACTTCGAATTGTAATGGGAATTTGGGATCGGTCTATTCCACCAGAAGACCGGTAGGTTGTCCACTTAATCTAATTTAATTGGCTATTACATCACTATTCTGTTGACGCTAGTAGAGAATCTTCATCAAAAAGAAAATGAAAGGCAGGAGCAGCCAGAGGATCAATACCCAAGAGAGAATTTTGTAGGCTTCTGTCTCCATGTCAGTAATTCTATAATGACATCATCCTATTGCCCAGCTAATTTTTTCTGGTATTCCGGTATTTTCTAGTATCTTAATACGTGGTGACGGCTGAAATCATTCAGCTTGTACATACAACAACACTTGGGACAAAAACAATACTCATTTTCACCTGAGCGAAGTGAGAAAAGTCGTGTAAAGGGTCTTTCCCAACGACACAAACCGGGATCTCTTGGTTCCGAGTCGAGCACTCTTCTGTTACGCCACAAAGCCCCACTTATTATAGCTAATTACATCCTGCTGCTCTTTTCAGACGAAAACACGTGGTTGCAGCAGGACCAGTACGTCCCGTTGGGAGTCGGAATTGATCCCGACGATCCTGCTGCAGTTCCGAAGGTTCCCGACCTCGACATGAGCGCGTCATCACGAGCAGAAGACATCTACCCGTGGCAGGCACGTCTGAACAGCGGAAAGGGGCAGCAGCGGGGGGCATACTGGTCTCCGGCTCAGACCGACACAGACCAGTGGCTGCAGGTACGTTTTTATGGCCTCACCACACCAGGACACCAGAAGGCGTTGAGAGATTGCTGCCCGGGGTATAGACTATTTTTTGTAGTCCCATGAAACAAACATTGATACTTGAGTCGTTTTTGAAGAATTAATAGATAGAAAACAATTGTACATTCATACCCGTACTGGATTCGCTACGGGTCACAAACAGAGAAAAACCATATAAATGGAAAGGTTACATTAAAAAAAATACCAGTGTTTTTGATTATTATATAAATTCGGCTTCCTGTCGCTTCGTTGTGATGAAGAACGGTTAAAAACGGAAAATTGAAGAAAATTAAACTGTTCTCCAACTTAAAAAAATCACCAGGAATTTTTATTAGCTTTATGACTGAAGTGAGGTGGACAGGTGACTTTTAGCTATACGTGACGTCAGTACTGCTTAAATGTTCGTCGGAAGTCGATACCGTCCCCCTGGTAAGTTATTTTCGTTCTTTTTCAGTTGGAGAACAGTTTAATTTTATTCATGTATATTTTACCAACTTAGATATATTATCATGTCAATATTTGTAAGATCAGAGGTTTGTCTAAGCTCATTAGAAATGCGACTTTGTCTGTATTACTTTGGATATGGTGAGGAGAAACATACTACATGTCATTGATGGAATGGAAAAAAAAAAACAATTGGCGTTCTCTTCCACATCCCAGATTAAGCACGACAGAGTGTACAGAGTTGCAGGTGTGATCACCCAGGGGGCCTACAACCTGGACTACTGGGTGACGTCATACAAGCTGGCGTTCTCTGTCAATGGGCAGTGGACAACATACAGCACCTGGGACGGTCAAGAAATGGTCAGTTCAACAATACATTTTGTTTGTTTGTTTGTTTGTTTTGCATAGGCGTGACACACCTGTTTTGTACATGTAAGTACCGGACTGTAATATTTGAACCACTCACACCGGGAAGGACCCCTACTCTTTTTTATAAGTGCGGTGGGTTCTTTTAACGTGCGTACGGTGTGGCTCACACCCAAACACAGGGCCTCCATTTAACGTCCTATCCGAGGGACGTCCCTAACCGAAGCTAGGTACTCATTTCAACCTGAGTGAAGTGAGGAAAGTCTTTTCCAAGGGCACAAGATCGGTGACATGGGTAAGACATTCTAGTCCTGATCAGAACACGCTATCGCTACGCCACACGACTCCACATTGTGAAATCAGACAAGCTGGCTTCATAATATCGACGTTTTGAACACACCTCCTTTAAACGTACCCAAAATTTCAGGGCAGTAAGACTGGATTTGCCCTGACAATTTTCTCGTCATCTTTAATGTACTTAGTTGACTCTCATAGCACACTGATATCTGCGATGCAAAAAATGCACTGTAGCAGAATAATTTGTTGGTTGTTTAGTATTATAGACTGCTTCTAGCTAGTTATTGGTGTTACCATAAAACGCCTTCTCACGTAACTTTTTCTAGGGCTAGTTCACTGGGGTATAAAATAATGACGAAAATGTAACAGAATCCAACGGATTTTCCTCATTTGGAATATTTTTTTTTTCTTTTACCACCCTTAAATTGCATCTGTACCTTGAATGTACGTTCCAGTGCTGCCCTCAGTCTGTTTTATGTTACATGAATGATGTCCTCACCATCAGGTGCACAATACAATACTAGTATTTTGTTGTTTCAGGTGTTCGAAGGGAACAATGACAGCCACCGCTATGCCCGAAACCTGTTGGACAACCCAGCTTTTGCCCTCTACACTCGCTTCTACCCACTTACCTTCCACAATAGAACAGCACTTAGGGTCGAGCTTCTCGTCATAGATGGTAAGAAGCCTGATATATGTGTGTGTTTTGCTTTAAGAATGCGCTGTTAAGTGCTTCTTCAAAGTCTTGCTGACGTCTTGCTGAGGAGCCAAATGGTACAGTATTGTGTGCAATTTTCAAGAATTCTAGGAATTGTATAGCCCTTTTGCCCACAGGCATGGAATGTCCACAGGAATGTCTCCCAGCTCTGTTGACATGCCAGCATTCCTGGAAACCCTTCGGAGATCCTGTCTGCCGCATGCCCTCACTCACTATACACTCAGGGGAGGGGAGGCCGAGGGTACAAGGCTTCCTCAAAATCATCAAATCATGGCAGTGCCATGCAAACAATAATCCTAACAGCAACCACCGTCGACATGGCAATGTATGTTTTCATTGCCAGTCTTATTTTAATTAGTAGAGACTTACCTTCGGTCGTTGTTTGTATTGGGCATATCTGACAAAAATGATATCCACGTTGCTATCGTAGCTGCACTAATTACTACAATTATTTTCCTTACAAGGTTCGGGGTGTGCATCGCACGATGTCTTCTGTAACGGCACATGTCGAGCAAGGGGAAGTTTTTGTCCGGTTTTTGACGGATGCGTGCCCTGGCTCTATAACTATGGCGAGAAGTAATGCAATCACTTCTTTACTTTCTTTACACACACACACACACACACACACACGCAGGCACACACACACACACACACGCACACACACACACTCACACACACACACACACACACACACACATATGGCGTATTAGAATAGCTTTTACGTAAATTATCGTTCAGAAAGTACAATATTATAAGCTAGGAGAATTATACATTAATGCATTGCTTGAGTTCTAACTGCTAGTAGGTAAATTAACAAGTAAACGCACCCCAAAACGCCGTTTCTTTTTTTTTCGGCAACACATATACTATAAAACAGAAGACTTACGAATTGTATTGAACACTAAATGTTTTGGTTTTATTTTTACACAACCGATACAGTTTGTCACTAGATACTTTCGTCAGAGCTTATGTAATACAAAAACGTGTTTTTGTATTCCGTTTCTATCCTATGTTTGGGATTGAGTTCTAGTTGCAAAAGCGCCACCTACATCAACTACATATTATACATATCGGCGAGAAGCAGAACTCCAGTCAGAAGCTCTGATAAAGTTGTCTGATAGACATACTGTATCGGTTGTACGAAAAGAAAACCCTAATATCCTACCAATAAATGAAACTATTTTCGGATGTTTTGCAGACCAATTTGCGAAGACGTGCTCAATGGAGAGTGTGGACTGGATTTGACCATGAAGTTGGAGCATTTGGGATGTCTAGGTTGGTTTGTTCACCTCCTATCACTAATGTCAGCTCTGTACATTGAAATTCGCTTATGTTAGCCTCCTTCACAGTCTTGTTGGGCGTCGGCGTTATTTTTTCTCTGAGAGACGCGAGTAATATGCGGCCGCGAGGGACGATTTGCTGCCGAGGGAGTTTTTGCCCTCGGCAGCAAATCGTCCCTCGCGGCCGCATATTACTCGCGTCGCTCAGAGAAAAAATAACGCCGACGCCCAACAAGACTGCGAAGGAGGCTACTCTTATGTAGTGTCTGGGGCTTACAAGTAAATGTCTGGTATCAGAAATAATTGGTCAACGCAATCTAATACAACATGACACACAGTATTGGACAGACAGTTTTGTTCGAAGATTAACATTTCAACCTGCCACAATCAAAGTATTTGGCTGTATACAGTAAAAAAGAAGTAACCATATCATAAGCTGTAAATTTCAACATTGTTGTCAGAAACTTTCGACTTTGCAACACCAATCATATAAGTTTTAATAATTTAATATGTCATGATAGAGACTCTTATCAAGTGGCAATTCTACCAGTAGAGATTTGCTTTGATTTGATTTGATTTATCAAACTGTATAAACAAATATACAGCCAGGACCACCTAATCCCGATTGAACTCTCTGCTCGTAGTATCAACCATTCATGTTCATATTATACATGTACATCGTTAGGTACTTGGGTTTTATGGCAAGCACAGGCTATTCAAATGATATAAGTACACTAATGTTGTTGGATGTTAAACTTGTAGGTATGTTGGCACTGTTAGGTAATAGACCCCATCCACTATGCCGGTGGAAAAGCCGATTTCTACGAAATATTTGAGTCTCTAACTCACTCACTCACTCAGTCACTCACTCACTCTCACTTACTCTCTCACTCACCCACACTCACTCACTATTACACACTCTCACTTATTCACTCTTTTACTCACTCTCTCACACTCACTCATCACTCTCACTTATTGACACTCGCACACACACATACTCTTTTGCTCACTCACTCACTCACTCACACTCACTCACTCACACACACACACATACTCTTTTTCACTCACTCACTCACTCACTCACTCACTCACTCACTCACTCACTCACTCACTCACTCACTCACTCACTCACTCACTCACTCACTCACTCACTCACTCACTCACTTAGCCCATAGCCACTGGCCGTAGAAGCAGTTTGGTTGTCCACAAATAGTTTTCTCCTCTGGCGGTGTCTAGTATGACATATTTACAAAAGTGTTGTTACTTCTTTGCCTTGCAGAAATCGATAGCCAGTTCAGTACGTGTGGAGATGGCGACGTTTACCACAACAGCCTGGCTTGTGATGGGACAAAAGACTGCTCAACAGGGGAGGACGAGGAAAACTGTGACGGTAAGACTTCTCCGGGCTCATTTGGGCTCATTTGAAAATCACACAACAGTTTGAAAGAGATGCTCCCTGTCTGCTGTTGTAAAACTCTTCTGGCGTCCTTTCTTGTAACGTACTTATATCGTAATAGAGCAAATGTGATGTCGCTGACGGAAACTTTTCGTAGGCTGGTTCCTGCTATTTATCGGTGTTATGAAAAAGGGACTCCTTGTAGCATGTTTTTTTTGGGGGGCTATTTACAGCAATTTAAGTATGAAATGCTGACGAAAATGTGTTAAGGGATGGCAGTAAATTTCAATATCAGACAGATTTCCTTATCCAGAATATACTTTGTATTGCCACTCTTAAATTTCAAAAGGTGCCTTTAATAGCGATGTTCTGATAAGAGGGACTCACATTTTGCACTATGTTTTTCATGAAGAATGTGCCATGGAATGCCTGGCTGATTTAGGCGACGCCTGCATCCCGAGTGAATGGATCTGTGATGAACTTGTTGACTGTGTGGACGGCGCAGACGAGAAGGGCTGTGTGGAAGGTAGGTCTTCTTTTTTCTTCTTTCATTTGAGGCAGCCGCCTTCAACTAGCTGAAGATTCTGATTCTGAAGATTGTGGCTAGTACGAAATGAGGTTCGCCAGGCCTCCATCCGGGTGATTTGTAGTGAATCACTAACTCCCAGACAGTTAGTTGTGTACCATCGCACACCAGGGCAGGCCCCTACTCTTTTCCGAAAAGTGTGGTGGTTTTTTTTACGTGCGCGGGGTATGGCTCTCCCTAAAACACGCGACCTCCATTTAACGTCCTATCCGAGGGACGTCCCTAACCGAGGCTAGGTACTAATTTACACCTGAGTGACGTGAGGAAAGTCGTGTAAAGTGCCTTTCCTAAGGGCACAAGGTCGGTGACATGGGTGGGGATCGAACCCAGGACCTCTAGTCCCGAAAGCGCTACCGCTGCGCCACACGGCCCCACTAATGGTGTCGCACAGTTTGCAAATACCTTACCTTAGACCTTACTTCCTCCTGTGCCTGTCAACAGCTACTATCTCTGCTTTCTCCCAGGGGATGTTTGCTCTTCTCAGATCTCCTTTGAAGGTCCTCCTCCATTTGTATTCTGGCCTCCCCCTCTTCCTTAACCATTATGGGGGACCCAGGTCATCGCTGGATTAGATTGCCTTTTTCTAGGTAGACGGAGAATCTGACCTTCCAACTGCATTCTCTTCTCTGTTATGATGGTGCTCAGAGGTTTTGACTTTGCCCTGTTTAGTATCTCTTCCTTTGTTATTCCTGCCACATCATTTTCAGTATTATTCTCCTCAGGTTTCTCTGGTGGGAGGCGTCTAGCTTTCTGGATACTTTAGTTATACATTTACAGGTTTTGCTGGCGTAAAGTGTAGTGGGTGGGACAATGCTCTTGTACAGTCTAAGCTTTGTGCTAAGGTTAATGGTGGTTGCTGAACAGGTGGCAAAGAGAAGGGAATTAAAAAGGGTATAACAATCATGACTTACCCAATGGACAGATTGCGGATTGTGTCTTCGTATGCGCTACACGTAATGGTGGATTTTCAAGTGGTAGTAAATGCAATTAAAGTCTGGTAATGTTTACCTTGTAAATGGTATTGGCCAATCGTTTTAAATAAAAGTTAGAACCGACAATTTCATGTCTTTCCATTGTTAAGTATGTGTGTTTAGTCTTTTTTAAAGATAAGTACTGTTTACAAAGTAAACATTGCCACACTCTAGTTTTGACTAAAATTTACTTTACTTTTTTTAAATTTACTTTTCGTCTGGTGATAAGATCTGGATACATGTGCCCTCTTTTAAGTAATTTGGATTTAATTACTAGTATTTAAATTTGCTTACATTTTTTAAACTAGGCCATATAGAAGTAGAATGATATCTACATGTATTTTCCAACAACGATTCAACCGTTTATCTACCTGTAAATCCCTAATGTTTTTATAACTCCAGGGCTTTCCCCTTTTGTCATTCTTTAACTATACGGTGTACTCTCCATAACAGGAGTACCTAAACACTGCTTTTTCACCTGCGGTAATAACGTCACCTGTCTGCCGACAAGTCAGCTGGGGGACGGGCGTCAGGACTGTGCTAACCGCGAGGACGAAAGTCCCAATGACAGTAAGTCGAATGCGTATTATTAGTTGTGGAAATGAGACGTAGTCTTTCAGCCCATGTCGCTTATAGCCAAGTATGGCCTTCCGATCAATAGCCAGACTCTTCCCAACGATCATGTATAGAAGTTGATCAAGTCGGAAGCAAGGTTTGTTGGTGTTCAGCTACGTTGTTTGTAGTTTGACTGCACCAGACGCACGTGTCAAGACCAAATGTTTAAAACATTCGGGTGTGGACGGGGTAATTGACCATGTTTGGATGGTGGTTAAATTCGGGGTTTGTAGAAAGGAATGACTCAAATTTATCTCAAATTCGATTTGCTTCCTAAGAAGGATGGACATGACCTAAATTTGGTCAGGCTGCTCCCGTATTTGGGGGAAGGTTCTAAGAACTAGGGTTGTTTATGAATGGTTTAGTGCATTGTAAATTGTTGTAACTGTTGGGTTTGCATTATATTACGCTAGTGTGGTTATTAGTCGTGTTTTATTGCAAAATCCTGTCTTATTTCTGACTCAGTATATGTTCGTGTTATTTAATGTATGTAATGGTACTGCTTACCAATATTTTTTTTTAAATTTAATTCCAACGTGTAATCACAAGACATGGTACGGAAACATTCAGGTCTTTTCAGCTTATATTAATGCCGCAACCAACACTGGACAAAACAATACTCATTTTCACCTGAATGAAGTGAAGAAAGTCGTGTTAAGTGCCTTTCCCAAGGAAACAAGCCTGTCAGGACTCAAGCCCGGGACCTCTTGGTTCCGAGTCGAGCACTCTGCCGTTACGCCACACGACCAATAATGTTTTATTCGAAATAAAGGGATTCGAATTAAACCACCTTGTTCTTACCTATTGCATCTTGTTCTGGTCGTGTATGTATTTAAATGACTACAAGTCTGTTTCTACAGTTGAAGAGTCACTGGGACATAAGTGGGGCTCCTGCAGCCACAACTGCACGTCTGTCTACGGTAACGCGTCATGCGTTCCTGACGCGTTCGTCTGTGACGGTGACGCGGACTGTTTGGAGAAGGAGGACGAGCAGGGGTGTGATCGTGAGGATTTCATCCGTAAGGCAGAAGACTGTCGGACGTTCTACTGCAGCCTGCCCGGCTCTGCCGACCTTTACTGTGTGCATGGCCATCTGATCTGTGACGGACACCCGGACTGTGCGGCAGGGGAGGACGAGCAGGGGTGCGGCGGTAACGTACCGGGCGGTATGCCCTCTCAAGCCGGTAAAACGGGGAGCACCGAACCGACCACAGAACCGACAAGTAGTCAAGGAGCGTTCCAAGATCACACAGGTATATTTAAGTCAATGGTTTCTCTCGCGATATCAGTAACCTCACCTCACCTCAACAGTCAAGTTACTGCCGTCGGGGCAACAAGACGGGTCAACAATGTCAATGTCAATGCTCTTCCATCCTTGGCGTTTCTCCGCTAAACTTGTTAGTTGGCTTGGGAGAAGGGGGTTTCAAGGCTGCATTATGTAGCATAAGAAATATATCCTGGTCATATCTATAGAAACTAATTTAAATCCACCCCACCTATACCGGTTCTTTTTTTATGGCAGATTTTAACGGACAGAATGCATGACCAGTGCAATACTGTCAAGCAGCTACGAAACTAATAATAATAAGTCTGTAATAATAATATATTTGTAGATTTCTTAAGATTTTCATATAAAATTTAAAACAGACGATGGCCTTCAGATCCCCAATCCCCGATGTTTCATGTTTTGTCCTGCTCTACCGGGAAAAATATGTACACTGTATCCACTCTCGTAAAACAAGTCACTTTCTTTCGTTCACGCTATTGAAAACTGCATCATCTGGTTATATTGGTAGCATGATCTCTCTTTCGAAGGCCGAATTTTTTATTTATTTTTTTTGAAACCATTTGGGGCATATTTAAAACTGTTACTGTTCATTGAATATGGAGTGTTTTTTTTCGGCCAATGATTCGGTGACCGTCTGTCGCCTTCCTCAGGGCAAATCTGACTGGTCCACATTGAACAGCACATACAGGTGTCACTGGTGTAGATGCATTCCCAAACGCAATGTATTTACATGGGATCATTTACAGGGTACAGTATCTACATTACCCTGAGGAAGGTGACAGACGGTGACTGAAACGTCGACCGAATAAAACACTTGGTTGTGTAAAAAGAATCTCTTTATTTAGTGACTTACCAAGATGATGTAACTATTCTTGCATGTTTCTATTATTATTTTGTTAATTTTGTGTTGCAGAGCTCCATGCAGGAAGCTGTGGACCCAGGGACCAGGCTATTGTTTGGATGACAGCCGCTTTACTAGGCGGTCATCTTCTGTATCGCATGGCTGTCTAATGCTCAAACTACCGTAGTTTTTTTGCGACAAATTATGTCGTATGGGGTCAAAACTGACCTCATAATGTTTTGCACGAATTTAATGTTTTGTAACTCTTTTTTGTGATTTTTTAAGTATGTATAGTGTCATTAATCTATAAGATATAGTTTGACATGATAAGATGTAAAAGATTTCAGCTCATTATCATAATTTATGCTCCTCAGAGATGACTCCATGCAGCCATGTTGATGACCTTTGACCCCAAGCCCTTTGGCAACTATGTGTAGGGTTTCAAGATTTTGTTTACTCAACATGTTTAGGTCCTTCAAATGGCAACAAAAACTCAAGCAAACGTATAACCCGGAGGAAATATTGACGACAAAAAAACACATGTGCTAAAAATAATAATATTTATTATAAAATATAATAATAATCATGCCCACTAAACTGGTAAAAAGAACAAGTTATATTTTGATCAAAGTGGTATTCTATTTTAGGCTCAATTCTGATCTGTTTTGTTACTAGGAATGAGCCACCCTGTTGATATGTTTTGTAAAATTAAAGTCGTAGTCTTTTTAGACTAATTGGCAGTAGAAGTAGTAGTATAGCATTCTTAAAAAAACATATTAATAGAAGTTGACCCTTGTGTTGAATGACAAAAACACACTCAAAACAGACGCTGTGCACCATGACCACATTTTATTCCGTAAACACAGTACAGATGTTTCCATGTCTCATCACAAAGCACGATAGGTCTTGATAATCTACAAATTACAAAGTGATTAAATATAATAGTTTACTTGTGGACGAAATTTGCTAAAAGTATACGTGTATAAGGTCTCATTCATTATTTTCTTATATTTTGAAGCATGCATAAATGAGGGTTTTACAAGGCCGCGTTGCTAATGATCCTATAAAATGATGTTCTACAATCATTATATGATTTGCTAAGCACATTTCTTCTCCTTACATGGTAAAATTGCCAAAGACTTCCATTCACACAATTTCTTACGTCCTTATGTCGCAAACATTACGTTCTTATTACCTTAGTTACAACCAAGCTTTCACTACTTTGACGTCTTAAAACCCTCGGACTGGCTAAAAGGAAATTTATCACCGATAAAATCACACTTTCATGCATCCGTTTAATTATTGTTTTGGTACTAATTTAGGCCACAGCAACTAGATTTTATGGATGATCACATACTCTGCAGACAATGATGCAATAGGGCAAAAAAGGCAGGACAAAAAAAGTTTCCAACATTTTAAATTTTAACATAAACCTTGTTGAACAAGAAATGTTACATATATTGTTATTGTTATATATAAGTTTACTGCCAACTATTACAGCATCAATTTCTCCCTGAAACAACTTTGAAAGATAGGTTTTCAATCATTTTACAAATGGTTTTGATTCAGTGAAAACATCACAAATACACAGACACCATCACATACAAAAGGAATGAAATACACTGCATCAAATTAGTAATAATAGACAATAATTCAGAGCCTTGTCTTGTCCCCTCTCTTCATATTCACCCACCCTCCACATTCCGGCATAGCAACAGACATTTTTGCCCATTCTGGCATGTTGACCACTTTCAGAAGGCAAAAAAAATTCATTTCCAAAATCGGGTGAAAATCAATGCGCGCTCTGATGCCATCCATAAAAATACTTGCTGTGGCCTTTGGTAGGTACATCAATAAGACTTTAGGGTATCCTATGCACATGTATGTCTTCAGTATCTATATTTAGTATGCTGAATCAGCTATCGCTTAAACACCTCCGTTGCGTTGTTACCACGTACGTACTATTGCAGAGCTAAATGCACTATCTAGCACAAAAAAGTTATATTTACCCAATAATACTTTTAAGGATTATACAAATTAAAAATCAAAATATGTCATATTAACCCTGTCTTCTGTCTAAATAACCATGGTGAGTTTACCTAAAAAGAAAAAAAAAATGTTTACAGAAGAAAAATGCAAAATATATGCAAAATAAGTCCAAATCAACAAAGTAGAGTTGGAAGAGATAAAATTTCAAGGTAATAGAAAGTACCAAAAAAGAAACCATTAATTGCTGAAATCAGGAATAATAAAATCTGAGATAACAGAAATCCATCTTGTCATTCTATGCAGTGTAGCAGATCGTGAGCAGAACATCAATCAGTCCCTGATAAATGAAAGCCTGCTGAACATCCAAGCAACCACACGTTAACTTTAGCTGATCATTTCAGCTACTAATCGTCAGAGAAAAGAATGTCCCATCAAGGATGCGTTTATAAAGTTCAGTTAACGATTTACAAATGTTATCATAAAGTCTGGTACACAAATTGATATGGAAAGCGACCTGTACTATTATTGGTAAAATAATAAAGCGGCCTGTCTGAGTTTAGACTGAAATCTTATACAATCAGTAACATGATAACAAACATTCCACAGTCAAAATCTGCAAGGAAGTTAGCGAAAGACTTTACACAAACACACTCTCCACAAACTCCTGACTACTGGCAAACCTGTTTCTATCTACAATAAGCTACGCAGAATCAACAACACACATCAACACAACACACGACTTTCTCAGGCGGGAGGCTTTAGACTACCTAAACCTAGAACTTCATCTGCTACCAGAACATTTCTGTACAGGTGCACAAAATCCTACAACACTTTTTCCGCAACACATAAAATCTTCCGCACCATCAGCTTTCAAAAAAACACGTCAGGGACAGGTTAAAATCACAAACATACACAAACAGACCCCTGCAGCATTTGTGGTAGCATAATGATTTTTAAACGTAAATATATAACTCGTATGTATTATTTATTGCATTGACCTCTGACCTCTCAAACAATCTCTACTTCATTACTTTGTTGTATATAGAATAGGATAGGTTTAGTAATAGTAACACAGATATGTGTGGCAATAAGCACGTGTATATACATCTGTGTTATAAGTCTGTAATGTGTTTTTACTCCGGGAAGAATATTGAGTATAAGCGTAAGCTTAAGCTTATACTTACTAATGGAGATCCTTCAAATAAACAAATAAACAAGCAAATTTACCAACTAGGGTATGCATATACTCACTAATGGAGGTACTTCAAATAAACAAACAAATTTACCAACTAGAGTTCGGAGTATTCATGCCTTCGACAGTGTGATATTGTTTTGGTGGGTGTTTTGTGTGTGTATAGTGTAGGTTTTTTGAAGATGATTATCGTAGTTATAGTGGTCAGATAGTCCTTTTGTGAACGAAGCAACATACTATTTCCCAAGCCAGTACCATGTCTTTCTGCAAAAATACGGATCATAGAGTTCGGCAAAAAAGGAGAAACAATTGGCCTGGCGAGTCTGGCCGCAAAAGGTTTTTTCTTCCCTCCGATGCGCGGCGATGCAAACTTCAAATCGGCAAAAACTCCTTCAACTAAATTCTTCTTCTATAGACTCTCTGACCACTATACACACCCAGCGTTGTTGAATCATGCAATGTCCAATATACGTTAAAAACAATTGCACTACAAAATGTCGATACAAAATGGCCAATTGTTGTGATGGTATGTGGTATGTGAGATATGGGTTCTTCACGTGAATCGCAAATTGTATCTCTCTAGCGGGCTAACCCCCTTTAGTGGCATACTATTCCCTTTATTTTGGCCATTTTCTACTATTTTCCAGCGATCCATGGTGCCTGGACCTGGCCATTGTGTACAGTATACCAACTTGGGTTCCCGATTAAAACACATTCCAGATGTTTACACTGGGGGACACAGTGCTGTCAAATTAGCACGCCCCTGCTGGGGAATGTTGTTTCAACAAACAACCATTCAAAGAAAATGTCTTCGGAAGAAAGCCACTTTTGACAGCTTCCTGTCTGTAACTTGTTGTTTTAACCTAGATATAATACCAGACCAAGACTTCGCCTGCCCTTAAAATGTTCAATCACCAAAAGCCCACTACAGTAATGTACGGACCTCCCACGATAACCATTTCTGAACTTGATCTTCTTATCGCCAACGGTAACTTGCTCACGAAAAATCGTGAACATCCATTTGCAGATTCTCGAGTTATCCTGCTAACAAAAATAACGACCAACACAAAAGGTCAAATTTAATGATGTGGGAACCCCCCATGAGGCCCATTTCCGAAGTTGAACTTCGTATTCTCAACGGTAACTTGCCAACTAAAAATCATAGAAAACCATTTAAGGATCCCCGAGTTATCTGGAGTACAACAAAAAACGCAAACACAAAAGGTCAGCTCCAGTCACGTAAGAACCCCCCCACGAAGCCAATTTTTGGTCTTGACAACCTGCCTGCTAAAATCGTGAACCTCGGACCAGGCCTTAAAAATGTACCGTGCATAATCTGCCAAACAGTGCCAAAACGATTTTATAGCCTTCTCGTCGAAGGCAATCGGGCAAAGAGCTATATACAATACAACTTGGATAAAAATACGATTTGCTGTAATAACATGTTGAAAGTTAGTTTGTCATAATATCTTCTGGAATAGGATTGTGTGTCTCCTAATCTAATTTAATAACCTTTGAAATATATTGATATGCCTCCTTATTGTCCACGAAATTAGATTTTGGGCATATAAGAATCTTCTCCTTAATACTAGGTGTAGCCGAACTATATATAAAGTGTGTAAATTCCTATTAAGGCATGTGCTAAATGTAATAAATAACGCAAATAAAAGTACCGGGTATCCAATACGAAAGTTCTATTACATTGTTTAAATTGCTCCAAATGCATATATGTGCATTCAACAATTCGAAAACTTCTTAGACATCATAAACATGACAAACGGTCTATGGATCGAGGTTAATGCTACACCTTTACCTGCCCAAGTACATGGTCATAGGAACGGTTACTGCGATACTGATGACGTACATGACAAGACACAGCATGTCCAGGACCTTAGCCAGCAGCGTGTAGTCAGACACTTCCTCTTCGTTCTTCACGGCCTTGGTCAGCTCTCTGATCTCTGTCTTCAGCACCCTTGTCAACTTTTGAACGCTGGCGTTTAGCTCGGAAATGCCAGCTGATCCGCGGCCGGTAGCGTCGCCTGGAGGCGATGAGTACTGCTTGTTCCTCTCATCACCATCACCGGAATATATGACTTCTTCGTCAGCCTCCGACACGTTATCGGCTTCATAGGCGCGGTTGGTCACCTCTATGGCGGCATTGTTGATCACGCCAGGCTTTTCATCGTTTCTTTGCTTATTTGCTGTCAGATCACCCAACAGCAGCATCCTTGAAAACAAAAAAAAATGGTACGAAACTGTTTAAATTTTGCATCAGCATCTTAAAACTACTTATAGTAGATCTTTAAATGCAGGAGTGAATTGATGTTTTTGTAAGCTTTCGTTTGGTTATAAATTATCTAAATTATTGACATAATGAAACAGGTTAGGTTCAGACAACCAAAAACACGATGCGGATTATCCTATTAAAACCCCGGTAAGTTGCAGATAAAATTTCCTAAAAAAATGAATAATAAGTCTGGCAAAAAACCTTATAAGAGAAAGTAACAAAACTAAATATTAAATTATCTAGAAACTCATTACAAAGTTGCAGGTGAGCTAATGTTTTAGATATCGATATTCTGATACCCGACACAGATATCATTGTTGACATCCAATGCAATTTTGAATTCGGTGCGACAGAACTGTAATTTTCAAAATCAATTCCATGGCCATTCTTTTAATGTGGTATTAAAGTTAAATCAACCTTAAGCTTTTTAATGATATTTCTTAGATCACACTTTCTTAGATCACACTTAATTTAATGTATTGCATTTGCATGCGCATTGATTTTCTCATGTTCCCAAAAATTATTTTCTCCGAGGTTCTGGACCTGGTGCCATTTTTTGTATGAGCCCAAAGTGGTTAGTGACAATAGGGGGCAGGTGCCAATGCTCCACGGAACTCAATGGCTCAGTACATTGCCGACTCATAATTACCGCAAAAGGCCTGCATGTGTCGGCTTGCCGTAAAAGTCGGTTTGTACTACCGCACATACACAATACCAACTTTGTATTCATGTGGTTTAGCAGAATTTCAAGGGGCCTGAATTTTTTTTATTCGTCCGCGCACACTAGTTTTGGGGTTTTCAGAGGATGTCATTCATAAGATCAAGTCAGTGTAAACAGTGTTGAAAATTCGATCTCGGAGACAAAAAACGGTTGCTTGCTTCGTATCGTTGGCCGGATGTAGGTCTTCCAAACCCTCTAAGTATGAAATGATGTCAAAAATATAAATGAAGAATTGCCATATAATGTCAAAATCAGACAAATTTCTTTTTTTCACCACCATGACATTGGATTTGATGCCTTTCAAGCCAAAAACAAATAGTAGGTACTTTGACATGTAGCGGAGAAAAAATATCTTCGCCGCCGGAGACAGGCTGCCCTCCCGGCCATGGATGACGATGATGATCAGGGTGAAGAACAGGAACAAACCCATCAGGCCCATACAGACGATGATCACCGTAGCTGTAATATTATTGATGGTAAACAGTTTCTGTAACTTAGCCTTTTGTTGCGAATTAAACAAATGATTTATAAAGCAATACGGTAAATGTAAAATTTAATTTACTCACCAAAAAATGGCAGTACCCCCTTAACAGGAAGTACGTCTGTCACAAATACGAGGGACACGACCATGGACAGTAGAATGGTCACTCCATACGAGATCCGGTCGCCCCTGTCAAAGGGCATG